CGAGAAGCACAGAGCTGAAGACACAAGCCTGAAGATGATGAATGAGACTTCATCGAAACGTCGCCTAGATACTTCCAATCTTACGCAGGAAAAAAACCAAATAACCAAAGATCCACATCTATATCTATATGTATATATATATATGTGTGTATATATATGTTTATGTATATGTACGTATTTTATGTACGTGCGGGCAAGTCCTTGACTTACAGCAGTTCGTTTTTAGTGACCGTGTTTGCAGTTACGGCGGCACTGAACAAAAAGGGACTTTAGGACCGTGGTTTGCCCTGGCTTATTCCTCACAGTCACAGCGATCAAAATTTTAGACGCTGTCAGGATTCCGGCAGTTGCCCTGAATTAAATCATGAGCCTCGAGCCAAACTTCCAAAATTTAAAGAGGAATTTATTGGGAGTTCACATGCCAGCACTGCCTAGGTGTAGCCGACTCTACAGACACATAATTCATTGTCACCCTTGATCCTGGGTTTCTCCCCCACCCCCTGGGTGTATCATAATTCATATTCTCCAATGGGAAACCTCCATAGCTCAGAGTCATCAATCATGCTCTCCGGTTAGATCTTTGCACGGCAGAAACTTCAGTCACCTAGTTACTATCTTTGAAAACGTTTATGGAATGCGCTTTCGGTTTCCAAGGTGCCGCACTGCTCTTTCAAACCCCTTTCTCCCCCTACCCGTCTGTTGTCAACTCTAAAAAGACCCGAGAAATAATTTTATGAGTTGACACAGTTGCTGATCAGTGTGTTTTTCTGGTGTGCCATTTTATTATTTTAATTTCCATTGAATGTTTGACAGCCAGCACGGTGGGCCTTTTCATCAACTTCCTGGCCTCGCTGATCTGGTTCTGCGTGGATTCCACGGGCGGTTCCGGATTCGGCCTCTCCATCCTCTGGGCCTTGATTTTCACGCCTTGCTCCTTCATGTGCTGGTACCGGCCCATGTACAAAGCTTTCCGGTACGTCGGCATCGCGTCGCTCTTACTTGGTGGGCCTGCGGGTAGGAATCAGCCGTGGCTTAGATCAGGCTTTTAAGAGAAAGCGGGGGAAACGAGGTGGCAAACTAGAACTCGCCAGGAGACGGAGAGTTCTAGTCCTGCATTAGGCACAAAAGCCAGCTGGGTGACTTTGGCACAATCACCGGGAGACGGAGAGTTCTAGTCCTGCATTAGACGCAAAAAGCGGGCTGGGAGAATTTAGGCTAATCACTGGGAGACGGTGATTTCTAGTCCCTCCTTAGACATGAAAAAATAGTTGGGTGACTTTGGGACAATTACCAGGAGACGCTGAGTTCTAGTTCTACTTTAGACACAAAAGCCAGCTAGGTGACTTTGTACCAGGCCGTGAGTGCTAGTTCTAGACCTGAAAACCAGCTGGTTGACTTCGGGCCGGTCCCCCCCTTCTCCACTCAACCCTGTGTTGCGGTGGTGAAAATCGGTGTGTTATTGTTTATGTTCACCGTCTTGAATTATTTGTAGACATAGTAAAAGCGCGGCGCAAATAAAATAAAAAATAAAATACGGGCGAGCACTGTTGGTTTTCCTCCATATCTCTCTCTCTCTCTCTCTCCCTCCCTCCCTTTCTCTCTCTCTCCCTCCTTCGATGGCAGGAGTGACAGCTCTTTCAACTTCTTCGTCTTCTTCTTCATCTTCTTCGCCCAAAACGTGATGTACGTCCTGCAAGCCGTTGGGATTCCCGGTTGGGGCTTCAGGTAAGGGACGGATCCTAAAACGGAATCTGGTCAGGTTGGGTCGGCGCCTAGATCCGAGGTGCATCTTTGCTTCTCGGCTCCCAAATTTCGAGAGCGAGCAGATCCAGCAGTGATTTGTCCAACGTGGCGCGGCCCTGTCTTCCTTCTTTGGAAGTTTTGATTTCCTCTGTTTTCCTGTCCCACAGCGGTTGGATTATCACCTTCGTCGCCCTGAAAAATCACCCAGGGGTGGGCATTTTCATGATCCTTGTCTCCGTGTTGTTCACCATCGTTGCCGGGCTGGGCATCATCATGTTGAAACGGGTGAGTAGAGCAGAAAGCAGCGGTAGTCCTTGTCGCGTGACCACAACGGGGCTCTGAATTTCCGCGGCTAAGCAGAGACTCCGGTGAAGTGAACGTCGCCTTAGTTTATGGCTTTTCTGGCCACGTCTCTGAAGGGAACTGCGTGTCAACTCATAAAATATTTCTAGGGTCTTTTTAGAGTCGCCAACAGAAAGGAAGGGGGGGGAGCAGTGTGGCAGCTTGCAAACCAAAAGTGCATTCCGTAAACGTTTTCAAAGATAGTAACTAGGTGACTGGAGTTTCTGCCGTGCAAAATTCTAACCGGAGAGCTTGATGGACGGCTCTGGGCTATGGATGTGTCCCATTGGAGAATATGAATTATGATACACCCAGAGGGGTGGGGGTAAAACCAGGGTCAAGGGGGACAATGAATGACGTGTCTCAGAGTCAGTTGCACCGAAGCCGAAGGCATGGTTACTCCTAATTCTTTTGAAGTTTTGGAAGTTTGGCTCAAGACTCAGGATTTAAATGGAGGGTAACTGCCGGAATCGGACACCGCGGCTGTTAGTTAAGTTAGTCAGACAGCTGATGAATCCAGCTCGTCAGAAGGCCGCAAAAGGGGATCCCGCGACTCCGGGAACTCTGCCACCGTCGTAAATGTGAGTCCGTGGCATGTCCACCACCACCATCTCCCCCGGCTGACCTTACTTCTCTTCTCCCGCAGATCCACTCCCTTTACCGCCGCACGGGCGCCAGCTTCCAAAAGGCCCAGGCCGAATTCACCGCCGGCGTTTTGTCCAACCAGGCGGTCCGCACGGCCGCAGCCAACGCCGCAGCTGGGGCGGCTTCCAACGCTTTCCAGGCCCCGTAAAAGGAACTGTGACCCGCAGGTTGTCATCCGTCGGCTGACTTCTCCGGACTCCTTCACCAAAACGAACCTCCCCATCCCCTCAAAATGCACGGCCTTGAAAAACCTTCCTGTCCCCTACCCCTGAAATCACCACGTTTGTGCTGATTTCGAGTCTGGGATCTCGGCAGGGAAACCCGCGACGGATCCACCACCACCCACGCTCCGGCTGCACTGAACTCTGAAGATCACTGATTCCCTGAAGACGGCTTGAATCTTCCCTCCTTCCGCCTGAAAATTTACAGAGGATCCAGCCACTTATGTATTTCTGCTTGTGACTTCTCCGATTTGCCCAAACCGGAAGGAACAGGGGCCTTTTCCTTCCTGCTCGTGTGCCCCCCCCCCCCCCAAAAAAAAATATTTGGCTTTTCTCTTTCGCCTTCAATCCTGTCGGGAGCTGATCCTCCCCAAATTAATTTTAAGTTTCCTTTCATCTCCCTGCTGCAGAAAATCCCCTATTTTCTGCAAATTTGCTAAGCCCAACATGCCCCTCCACCATTCGTACATTCCTCCTATTTAAGGCAGTTTTTTTTCTTCTCACCCTTAAGCATCTTTTAAGAAGCGTGGACTTCCAACTCCCAGAGTTCTCCAGGCTGGCTGGGGAATTCTGGGAGTTGAAGTCTCCACATGCCCTCTTAAAATCCCCACCCCCTCAAGAGACACCGCCGAAGTGAATCCATCCGTAGAATTCTGCTCAATGCCCGTCGAAATAAAGACGGCCTTTTCGAGCTTTTTTTTTTTCTTCTTCTTACGCTACCCTAAGCCGTGGGTTTTCCAAACTCGGTCAACTTTTAAAAGCGTGTGGACTTCAACTCCCAGGATGCTCCCTGGCTGGCTGGGAATTCTGGGAGTTGAAGTCCAACCTTCTTCAAAGTTGCTTAGATTGAAAAAAAATTGCTTTTTTTAAAAAAAAATTTCTCTCTCTCTTTTATTTTGATCTCTCCTGCCACTGCTGGCCGCTGGGAGGTGAATTCCCTTTTTTTAAAAAAGAAAAAATTCATTTTATTAGCAACGGGAATAATTTTATTTGGCTCAAAAGCTACCCCTGGCCTCTTAAGATCGCTTTTTCGGCCTCTATGGTGCCTTCTTTTTTTGTTATTGATCTTTTGGGGTTTCTTTTTCTTCCAAGTTCTCACGCCGCCCAGTGTCGGAGTTAAAAGGGCTGTTTTTTGTTGTTTTTTTTGCGGACGAATAAATTCTCCAATCCCCCCAAAATTTGAGAATTGGGATATCAGAAACAACCTGAAGTCTTTCATCTTGGACTGCTTCTCTTTTTTTTCGGAGCCTGTCAGAGGCAGGACGGATGGAGGCTCCCGGCTTTAATTTTGGCCACGTTTGGGGGGTCCTTTGATGTGTTCCTAACTTGGGAATGTATAGTTCTCCGCCGTGTCTCTTTTGCTGTGTCTGTGAATTCCTCCACATTTCTACATCCTCTTTATTTGACTTGCTTGGCCCCCAAACCTAACTGGTAGCCCCTCTCGTCTCCCCTTTGTTGGTATCTGAAATTTCAGAGCCTCCCCAAAAGTTTTCCCATGTCTCCCCTTCTTCTTCGCACTCTGTCTCCTTCCAAGGATTCGCGTCCCGCGTCTGTAAATGTGTAAAAACATGATATTCCCCTGTGCATCTTCCCATTTATTATTATTATTATTAATATTATTATTTTTTTGCTGTGACAAGCGCAAGACAAGAGTATGGAATTTTATTTAAGGAATAAAACTACATTTTATCTCCGTGGTTTTCAGCCAGCCATGGTTTTCCTGGGGAAAAGATGGCTTCTGGTGGGTCAGGAATCTTCCCAGACCCTTCCTCAAGGGTTTATCTGGTTTTAATGGGAAGGAGCTGCTTGGAGGGCCATGCTGTTGTGGTCTGCTGGAGGCCCTGCAGAGCTGGCAGCAGAGTCGGACAGTGGGGAGGGACGTGGGCCAGTCCTGGAGTCTGGGGAGGACTCGGACAAGGGTCCTGCGCCTGACACAGAGATGGGGCCAGGGCCATCTGTGAGTTATGCGCCGACTCCGGAGCCTCCAGAATCTGACAGCCGCGAGGTAGAGGAATAGCGGGAGCCTGTTCCCAGGGCGCGCATGCACAGAGCTGCCCGAAGGCAAGAACAGTTAAGACAAAAGGGGCAACTGGGGAGTAAGTCTTGGAGGTGACTGGCCCCTCTCATAAGACATAAAGGAGGAACAAAGGGAGAGGAGCCTTTGCAGGAAGCAACTATTCGTTCTGGTGGGTTTAAACTCTGTGCTCCGTTTGGCGTTGTACAGCCAGTTGGCAATTTAGTTGTTAGCAGCATTTCAAAGGGAGAATAAAGGTGGGTGCTTATCAGCTTTATCCCGAAGGATTGTGGCAGACTTCCGTTGGACTATTCACAAACTGGGACTCACGACGGCTGTGAATGCATGTAATTCACAGCCATTGAAATTTTAAAAAGGGGTTTTGGGACTTAACTGTGTGATTTGTTACTGTTTTAGGAAGCCTTGGTGACAACAGATGCATGGGAAAGTCAGCCCAAGTTTTGATTCAAAGAAGCCTTAAAATCTCAACATTTCCCCTACCTGTGCAGGTACTCCTTGATTTACAGCCATGTTTAAGCCCGGAGTTCAATCATGGTTGTAAGTCAAGGACCATCTGGCTAATGAAACATTGGCAAACCAACAACTATTTTTTTTAACAGATTAACAGAGTTGAAAGGAACCTTGTAGGTCATCTAGTCCAGCCCCCTGCCCAGGTAGGAGACCCTACACCATTTCTGACAACTTCAGGGAGTACCAAGATGCCCACCAATTAAAAGTGCTTTTTCTCAATATTCAAATTTCAAACAAACTTGAATGAAACCCAGTTTTTTGCACTTCAACTGTGGAGTAACAAAACAGGCTGGGTTGTTACAGAAAGGCACACCCCTCTCCCGAGTAATCTAGGTTAAAACCTAGTTAACCAAGTCGCGCAAATGCCTTGCCAAAACTTTTTACTAACATAGTTAAAAATACTGTGCTGGATGGGGCTTGCAGGAAGCTGGCTAGTCCACCAGAGGGCGCTGATGTTTAGATCCAGGATTGCAAGGGGATTAATTTAATTAATTAATTAAGAAAAACGTCCCCCCAAAATAATGATAATTTACGATTATTATAAATTTACATTGCTTTTTTTACAATGTTCCATCAATGTGTGAATAATTCATGGTTACGATTTATGTGACGGCATAGCTCCCAAATAACCAGGTCAACCGAATGGATGGTTAAAAATAAAAATAAAAAACCAGTTTTTCTTAATTCTGGATTTTAGTGAGCAAAAAGTTAGTTTGGCTAAAAAATATATATATAATTTGGAGTAGGGGGAATGGGGATGAAAAGGTGGCCTCTCCAGCGAGGCTTCATTCATTAGTATTAAGCATAATTTTGTTCTTGGCTTTTTAAAAGAGACTTGTAACGTAGCCAAGTTGAATGGGGAGTAAATTTTCTCCTGATTTTTAGCATGTTTTTTTTTTTTGCTTTTTTTCACGGCTGTGTTGATTGTTCGCAAGTTAGGGCCGATGAAGAAAGAAAATTACCTTAGCGGTTAGGTAGTTAAAGTATTGCTAATAGGAAGAGAGAGAGAGAGAGAGACCCATTTACCAGACGAAAAAACAATTTTTGCTGCCGATAGGAATAAAACGCAGCTTCGTCGCGAATAAGAAGCCACCGCTTTACAACGTGACATTTCGGAGAAATTAAAAGTTGAAAGGAAACGTCGGTTTAAGGAGCTGGGGATGATTGTGAAAAGAAAGTGGCTTTTTGCTGGGGCCTGTTTGAAATTCCCATCAGCTAGGATTTAGCCGCAGAGTCGAAAAGATTGCGAAAATTGGCAATGGATCTCATTCCATTAGCAAAGAGATCTCACGGGAAACATTTTCCCAGCAGGCTTCTATCCTGTATGGCTCCTGATGGATCAAAGCATCTACTCAAAACATTTTGTTTCCAGGCATAACCAAAGGATGCTAATTGGATCCCTCTAGAGAAAGGAGGGAGGGAGGGAGAAAGAGAGGGAGAGAGAGAGATGGAGAGAGAGAGAATAGGAAAGAGAGAGATGGAGAGAGAGAGAGAGGGAGGGAGAAGGAGAGAGATGGAGAGCTAAATGGAGAGATGGAGAGAGCTAGAGGAGAGATGGAGGGAGATGGAGAGATGAAGAGAGAGTTGGAGAGAGGGAGAGGGAGGGAGGGAGGAAGGGAGAAAGAGAGATGGAGAGCTATGGAGAGCTAAATGGAGAGATGGAGGGAGAAAGATGGAGAGATGGAGAAAGATGGAGAGATGGAGAGAGGGAGGGAGAGAGGGAGAAGGAGAGCTATGGAGAGCTAAATGGAGAGATGGAGAGAGAGATGGAGAGATGGAGAAAGATGGAGAGATGGAGAGAGAGATGAGAGGTGGAGAGAGATGGAGAGAAAGATGGAGAGAGATGGAAAGAAAGAGATGGATATAGATAGATAGATAGATAGATGATCGATAGATGATAGATAGATAGATAGATAGATAGATAGATAGATAGATAGATAGATAGATAATTTGCAGATAGACTGCCTCTGTCTAGGGAGGGTTGCCAGAGAAGTCAGGCATCTCCCCTGCCAAAGTCTCTGCGAGCAGAAATTAGGTGAACAGCGTTTTATTTTTTCAGATGCTAAATGGACTCCGGAGGCACGAATCCGTTGTAAAAGTTTTTTTTTTTTTTTAAAGTACTTGTCGCAAAATTTGAAGACTTAACAAGGAGACAAGATTGCAAACCAGATCTGAATTTTTCAGCAGTTTGAAAATGGGTTCCAGAGGCCTGAGTCGTTTTTTTACTTGTTTGGTGTTTTTTTTAAAAAATAATTTTTAAAGGCATCGTTGCAAAATGATGGAATTCGAACCAAAAACGAGAAGACGGAGACGAGATTTGCAGAGCAGGTCTGAATTTTTTTTTTTTCAGTGTTTTTCAAATGCTTGGTCGGAGCTCCAAAGGGCCCCAAAACAAGTTTTTTTTTTTTTAAAGGAATTGTCGCAAAATTTGAAGAATCGGAACCAGGAAGAAGCAAGATTGCAAAGCAGACTTAAAAAACAAAACAAAACAGGGAAAAAGCACGTAAAAATCACCCACCTACCTCTGTGTGGAGGAAAAAAACCCCAATTTGTTCTCTCTTTCCCACCCCTCAATCCCATCCCAGTTCTGCCCTGTTTTGTGAAAGAGGCCGGAGCGGCGTCCCAATTTCAGGATTCTGGCTGGAAAACTACAGCTCCCAAGATGCAGCAGGCTAGGGTGTGTGTGTGTGTGTGTGTGTGTGTGTGTTTTAAAAAATTATATTCCTCCCCCCCCCCACTTTCCCCTCCCCTGCAGCATCAGGACCGGGCTGGCGAAGGATGCAGGCACTGAGCGAAAGGGAGGCGGAGCTTAAGAGCATCCCTGGCTTGGAGCAGTCCTGCAGCCGAGCAAAATGACTCCTCGCCTTCTCG